TAATCAAAACAGCATGGTACTGGTACCAAAACAGAGATATAGACCAATGGAACAAAACAGAGGCACCGGAGGCAACACAACATACATACAACTATACAATCTTTGATAAACCTGACAAAAACAAGCAATGGGGAAAGGATTCCCTGTTTAACAAATGGTGTTGGGAAAACTGGCTAGCCATGTGCAGAAAGCAGAAACTGGACCCCTTCCTGACACCTTACACTAAAATTAACTCCAGATGGATTAAAGACTTAAACATAAGACCTGGCACCATAAAAACCCTAGAAGAAAATCTAGGCAAAACTATCCAGGACATAGGAGTAGGCAAGGACTTCATGAACAAAACACCAAAAGCATTGGCAACAAAAGCCAAAATAGACAAATGGGACCTAATCAAACTCCATAGCTTCTGCACGGCAAAAGAAACATTTACTAGAGTGGATCGGCAACCAACAGAATGGGAAAAAATTTTCGCAGTCTACCCATCTGACAAAGGGCTGATATCCAGAATTTAAAAAGAACTCAAATAGATTTACAGGAAGAAAACAAACAAGCCCATTCAAAAGTGGGCAAAGGACATGAAGAGATACTTTACGAAAGAAGACATATATGAGGCCAACAATCATATGAAAAAATGCTCATCGTCACTGGTCATCAGAGAGATGCAAATCAAAACCACATTGAGATACCATCTCACGCCAGTTAGAATGGCGATCATTAAAAAATCTGGAGACAACAGATGCTGGAGAGGATGTGGAGAAAAAGGAACACTTTTACACTGTTGGTGGGAGTGTAAATTAGTTCAATCATTGTCGAAGACAATGTGGCGATTCCTCAAGGCCTTAGAAATAGAAATTCCATTTGACCCAGCAATCCCATTACTGGGTATATATCCAAAAGACTATAAATTGTTCTACTATAAGGACACATGTACACGAATGTTCATTGCAGCACTGTTTACAATACCCAAAACCTGGAATCAACCCAAATGCCCATTGATAATAGACTGGATTGGAGAAATGTGGCACATATACACCATGGAATATTATGCAGCAATCAGAAATGATGAGTTCGTGTCGTTTGTAGGGACATGGATGAATCTGGAGAACGTCATCCTCAGCAACCTGACACAAGAACAGAAAATGAAACACCGCATATTCTCACTCATAGGTGGGTAATGTAAAATGAGAACACATGGACACAGAAAGGGGAGTACTAAACACTGGGGTCTATTGGGGGGAAAAGGGGAGGGCCAGTGGGAGGGGGAGGTGGGGAGGGATAGCCTGGGGAGAAATGCCAAATGTGGGTGAAGGGGAGAAGAAAAGCAAAGCACACTGCCATGTGTGTACCTACGCAACTCTCTTGCATGCTCTGGTCATGTATCCCAAAACCTATAATCCAATAAAAAATTAAAAAAAAAAATCCAAGACTAGGCTAAGCTGTTTAATAACTGTTACCTCCATACTTTTTATGTCTCTCATTTTGGTAACACTTTCAACTTATCTTCTTGATTCTTATGCATTTTATAAACAATGTTTAAATTCCTTTTGGAACAAGACAGGATCTAATATTTAATTTAAAATAAAGGATAATGTGTGTTTCAACATCTAATTTGGAGTTAATTTTATCTGCATACGAAGATGTGGAATAAACTAATAATCAATTACTTTCCATTTTACTTTTTATTTCATGCATATTTAGAATGAAACTAGGAAGTCCTAGCCAGAGCAATCAGTCAAGAGAAAGGAAGAAAGTACATCCAAATTGGAAAAGAGAAAGTCAAACTATCTGTTTGCCTAAGAGATAATCTTTTGGCTTAGAACACCCTAAATGCTCCTGGATTTGATCAATGAAATCAGTAAACGTCTCAGGTTACAAAATCAATGTACACAAACCAGTAGCACTAGTATACATCAAGAATGGCCAAGGTGAGAATCAAATCAAGAACCTAGTCCCTTTTATGATAGTGATGGCAACAACAACAAAAACGTAACCTTTTAGGATCTTTCACCTCCTTGGTAACCAAGATGAAAGATCTCTAAAAGGAGAACTACAAAGCACTGCTGAAGACATCTTTCATAGGAAAAAAGGAAATCACAGATGACACAAACAAATGGAAATATGCCCTTTGTTCATAGAAGAATCAATATATTGAAAATGACCATATTAACCAAAGCAATTTACAGATTCAATGCAATTCCTATCAAAATACTACTGTCATTCTTTGTAAAATTAGAGAAAGTACTTCTAAAATTTAAAGGGAATAAAAAAAGAGCCCGACTAGCTAAAGCAATCCCAAGCAAAAAGAATGAAGCCAGAGGCATCACAATACCAGATTTCAAACCACACGACAAGCCTAAAGTAACCAAAACAGCATGGTACTGGTATAAAAGTAGATACACAGACCAGTGGAACAGAATACAGAACGTAGAAATAAAACCAAATATGTATAACCAACTGACCTTTCACAAAGTGTACAAAGACATAAACTGGGCAAAGAACACCCTATTCAATAAATGGTGTTGGGAAAATTGAATAGCTACATATAGAAGAATGAAACTGGATCCCTATCTCTCACCATATATAAATATTAACTCAAGATGGATTAGGCCCTAACATGGTGGCTTCTGTCTGTAATCCCAGCACTTTGGGAGGCCAAGGCTGGAGAATGGCTTGAGCCCAGGAGTTCAAGACCAGCCTGGACAGTATAGTGAGATCTTGTCTCTACCAAAAAATATTTTTTAATTAAAAAAGAGATGAATTAAAAACTTAAATCTATAACCTGAAACCACAAAAAAATCTGGAAGAAAGTGTAGGAGAAAACTCTTCTAGACACTGGCCTAGGCGAATTATTTATGACAAAGACCCCAGAACAAAAAGCAACAAAAACAAAAATAAATACATGGGACCTAATTAAATGAAAAGTCTTCTGCACAGCAAAAGAAATAATCATAAGAGTAAACAGACAACCTACAGAATAGGAGAAAATATTTGCAAACTATGCATCTGACAAGGGACAAACAAATCAGCAAGAAAAATACAAATAATCCCATCAAAAAGTACACAAATGACATGGACAAACATTTCTCAAAAGAAGATGCACAAATGGCCAACAAACACAGTTAAAAATTCCCAACATCACTAATATTCAGGGAAATGCAAACTAAAACAACAAGGAGATATCCCCGTATTCCCAGCCAGCATCCTCATTATTAAAAGGTTGAAAAACAATAGAAAGATGTTGGTGCAGATGTGGTGAAAAGGGAATGCCTGCTCATACATTGCTGATGGGAATGAAAATTAGTACAACCTCTATGAAAAACAGTAGCGAGATTTCTCAAAGAGCTAAAATAGAGCTACCATGCACTCCAACAGTCCCCTATTGAGTATCTACCCAAAGGAAAAGATATCATTACATCAAAAAGACACCGGCAAATGTATGTTTGTTTACTGCAGCACATTTTGCAATTGCAAAGATATGAAATCAACCTAAGTGTCCATCAACCAGTGAATGGAATAAATGATACGTGGTATATGTACACCGTGGAGTACTCCTCAGCCATAAGAAGAATGAAGTAATGCCTTTTCCAGCAACTTGGAAGGGACTGGAGGCCATTATTCTAAGTGAAGTAACTCAGGAATGGAAAGCCAAATAAAAACACGTTCTCATTCATAATAGGGAGTTAAGCTATTCATCCATGTAACCAAAAACCACTTGCATCCCCTAAAGCGATGAAATACACCAACGTTCTGAAAAACCATAAAAGTGTTGACATTTTTTAAAAATTACTTTGGTTTTAGAAAAGTGGTCAATTCATGCTCTATTGGTTGGACTGTAAATTAACACAAACATTCTTGAGAAAAATGAATATTGATCAAAGGTCTTTTTTAAAAAGTTCCTGTATTTCAACCTAATAATTCTATATTGGATAATTTATTCAAATCAAACAGTTTAGAAATGCGAGATTTATATAAAAAATGTTATGGGCTGGGCATGACGGCTCATGCCTGTAATATTAATGACTTGGGAGGCCAAGGTAGAAGGAATGCTTGAGGTCAGGAGGTGGAGATCATCTTGAGCAATGTAGTGAGATCCTGTCTCTACAAAAAACTTAAAAAGTTAGCCAGGCATGGGAACAGGCACCTGTAGTCCCAACTACTTACGACTCTGAGGCAGGAGGATGAAGTTCGAGGCTGCAGGGAGGTATGATCACACCACTGAACTCCAGCCTCAGGCACAGAGTGAGACCCTGTGTCTATAAATAATAATAATGAGAAAAGATGCTCCTTACATCATTAATTATAAATACAAGATAATTTCAAAACTCAAATTGCAATTCATTAAATGAATAACAAGATTTCCTATGATGGACTTCTACATGGCCATTAAGATTGCAAAGACTATGCATTTATTTTGTTAGCAGAATAGTTCACAGTTAAAATAATTTATTATTTCCAAGAATTTCATGTTCCACAAGACCAAGAAGGTTTCTTCCATTAATCCCCAGAAGGCAAGTCAGAAATTATAAAAATTCTAATATATTATCTTTAGTATAAATATTTCTTTAAAACTAGAATGTGGCACATATATATATACCATGGAATACTATGCAGCCATAAAAAATGAGTTCAAGTCCTTTGCAGGGACATAGATGAAGCTGGAAACCATCATTCTCAGCAAACTGACACAAGAACAGAAAGCCAAACACCTCATGTTCTCCCTCATTTAGTGGATGTTGAACACATGGACAGAGGGAGGGGAACATCATACATCGGGGCCTATTTGGGGGTTTGGGGTCTACAGGAGGGATATCAGGAGGTTGGGGGGCTAGGGGAGGGATAACATTAGGAGAAATATCCAATGTAGATGATGGGGGGATGGATGCAGCAAACCAACATGGCACGTATATACCTATGTAACAAACCTGCATGTCCTGCACGTGTACCCCAGAATTTAAGTATAATAATAAACAAAACAAACAAAAACTAGAGTGTCATACCTCAACCTGCGCAGCTCTAGTTCCCATTTGGTCTTCTGATGCTCTAATTGTAATTCTGTCTCTTTTGTTTTAGAGATTTCCTTTTGTAGTACACTAACCATATTTTCCATTTGTTTAATTTCTGCTATAAGTCGTTCATCCTCATTATTCTTAAGTTCCAGGAGGTCTTCATATAAATGAAATGCACCCTCAATTCTTGATAGGCTAACAGACTCTGTGTCAGGGAGAAAACAAGGTGGAAATAAAATATGTGAGTACTTTTTAGGTAAAAAGGACTGTGCATTTTTAAACACTGTCTCCTTCATACACAGAACAAACAGGCACTGAGTGCCTACAGTGTGGCAGATATTCCACTAAGCTCTGCAGGTAAAACAAATGAGACCTCTACTCTCATTTAGTCTTAAGTGTAGTGGGGAACGAAGACAACAAAAGTGACAATTATAAATTCACATAGATGGTGTAAGAAATCAGAGTTCCATGATCACATAGGAGAATTTGATCTATACTGGGCCCACGAAAGATTTCCCTGAGGAAGAGATGACTTCACCAAGAAATCAAGGGTGAGAAGGAAGCACTTAAGCAAAGGGGTAGAAAAGCATTCTAGCAGTTGACAGCAGGTGCCGACGCTCTGCTGCAATCTGCTTCTGGCCACGATGGACAGCAAGTACTGATTTACCTTCTTGCCTGAAATAACCAAAAGGAAAACGGAAAAAATATATTATACAATGATTTACCAGGCATTGGACTTCAGGTAATGAAGACCATGATCCCGTAAGACAGGAAACAAATGGAATTCATACCGATGCTCCAGCTTCCTGCCTTCACAGAGTTTCCAGGCTATCACACACAGAGAAAAAAGTGACGTAGAGTCTACCAGATTCCCTGAGATGAGACGATGAAGCTGAGAGTCTGGTAAAGCCAAGGCAGGCAGAGGTTACAAAACAGAACACGGGAAAGGAGACAGAGTACAGGGAAAGAACACTGAAGATCTGCAAAAATACCTCCTGGGTATCCAGCAGAGTACTGAACAGTGCATGTGTGCCAGAAAACTGCCCCAGACCAAGGGGAAGAAACATCTAAAAAAAACTGGAAAGAAACACGCCAGCTGCTCATAAGGTGCCAAAAAGAGTGTTCATTCCCATGAGTGATGCTGGGAAAACTCAGACTTCACATGGGAATGAATAGAGCCATCACAAAGATCTTGCCTCAGGAGTGGGAGATTCGACCCAATCATAAAGGGAAGACCGGAAAGATCAAGCTGTTCCTATGGAACTCAACTTATATCAAAATTAAGCTCAAGCAGATTGGCAGAGGCATGGAAGATACATATTTTTTTAAAGCAAAATGCTCTTGTAGAGATTCAAATTACAATGTCAGGAATGAAAACTACAATGGATGGAAGTGAACACAGATTAGACATCACCAAAGAGAAGTTTCATAAATTTGAGACATCAGTGAACTACGTGAAAACTTCAAGCAGAAATAAGTCCCAAAAGAGGAAAAAAGAGAGACAGGAAAATATAAAGAGAATGGCCAAAACTTTTTAAATTGAAAGAAAACTATAACCCTACAAATCCAGAAGTGTCTTCTGGCTGGGAGAGAGAAAATTAAAGTATATTATTCTAATTTTCCTTTTTAAAAAAATGTCAATTGGTTTTTGGGGAACAGGTGGTCTTTGGTTACATGAATCAATTTTTTAGTGGTGGTTTCTGAGATTTTGGTGAACTCAAGCATCACACAAGCAGCATACACAATATCCAATCCATAGTCTTTTATCCCTCACCCCCCACAAACTTTGCCCCCAAGTCCCCAACCTCCATTGTATCATTGTTATGTTCTTGCATCCTCATAGCATAGTTCCCGCTTATGAGTAAGAACATATGGTGTTTGGTTTTTAATTTGTAATTTTCTTATGCCATATGTGACATGGCATAATATTTTTGAAGATGGACTGTGATCACTTAAAATCATATACTATAAATTGTAGTGCAACCACTGAGATAAAAAAAATAGTTATCGCTAATAAGCCATAAAAGGGAGATTAAAAATAAAAAACAAAAATTACTAGACTAATTGAGAAGAAAGCAGAAAAAGAAGAGAATGAAGAACTGCAGGGATCGATGGAAATCAAAAAGCATGATGACAGATAAACTTAACTGTATCAATAAGCACATTATAAATGAAACTGGCCTAAAAATCTCATTTAAAAGGCAGATTATCAGATTGGATAAAAATGCAAGAACCTACTACATGCTTCCTATATAAAAAAAACTTTAGGCCGGGTGCAGTGGTTCACGCCTATAATCCTAGTACATTGGGAGGCTGAGACAGGAGGATCACAGGTCAGGAGTTCAAGACCAGCCTAGCCAACATGGCAAAACCTGTCTCTACTAAAAATACAAAAAATTAGCTGGGTGTGGTGGCATGCAACTGTAACCCCCAGCTACTCAGGAGGCTGAGGCAGGAGAATCGCTTGAACCCAGGAGGCAGAAATTGCAGTAAGCCGAGGTTGCACCACTGCACTCCAGCCTGGGCAACAGAGTGAGACTCTGTTTCAAAAAAAAGAAGAAAAGAAAGAAAGAAAAGAAAAACACTTTAAATTTAAAAAGACAAATTGTTCAGAAAGACGTTAAAAGATATACCAGGTTAAGAGTTGACAAAAGAAGCCTGAGAAGAAATGGCTATGTTAACGCCAAAGTAAATTTCACAGCAAAAATATTTACCAGCTATAAACAGTCATTTCCTCATGAATTTCAAAAGTTGTTAATCAAGAACATATAATCTTAAGTGACTGTGTACCTAATAACAGCTTCAAAATATATGTGGCAAAAATTGATAGAACAAATAGACAAATTCGCAAGTACAGTCTGACATTTGAATATTACTTAGTAAGTGATTAAAACAAGGGAGCAGCAAAACAGCAAGAAGCAGGTAGACCTGAACAACACCATGCTTCTCTAGTACCCGGGGAGCACGTTCCAAAACACCCCACATTCTAGGTTCTGCAATCAAGCTTAGCAAAAGAACTAAGTCAGAAAAATTTAACTCATGCAAAGTATGTTCTCTGACCACAAAGCAATCAAATTAGAAATCAGTAACAAAATATCTCATCAAAATATTCAAATATTTTAAAACAAAGTAACACACATCTAAACAACCCTAGGTCAAAGACACGATGCAAAGAGAAATTAAGAGTATTGTGAAGGGAATGAAAATGCAAATACTAAGTATCAACATCTGTGGAACACAGCTACGACAGTACTTAAAATTTTTTTAGCACTTAATGTCTATATTAGAAGACTTTCAAGTCAATGGTCTTGACTTCTATCTTAAGCAAAAAGGAGGAGGAGGAGGGGAAAGAGGAGGAAGGAGGAGGAGGAGGGGAAAGAGGAGGGAGGAGGAGGAGGAGGAGGAGGAGGAGGAGGAGGAGGAGGAGGAGGAGGAGGAGGAGGAAGCAGCAGCAGCAACAACAACAACTACTAAAAAAAGGAACAAATTAAACCCAAAGCAAGCAGAGGAAACGACATAATAAACATAGGCGGACTCCGGCGCGCCAGGCCCAACCGCAGCTTCTGGGCTTAAGCACCTCCACTTGCAGCGGCGATTCCGAGGCCACCTCCAGCAATGGCCTTTCCAAATCTGCAGAAAGTGCTCATCGGTGACAGCCTGGACCCTTGCTGCCCGAGGATCTTGCAAGATGGAGGGCTGCAGGTGGTGGAGAAGCAGAACCTTAGCAAAGAGGAGCTGATAGCCGAGCTGCAGTTCATGGGAACAGAGCTGAATGGAAAGACCCTGGGAATTCTGGGCCTGGGCAGGATTGGGAGGAAGGTGGCTACCAGGATGCAGTACTTTGGGATGAAGACCATAGGGTATGACCCCATCATTTCCCCAGAGGTCTCGGCCTCCTTTGGTGTTCAGCAGCTGCCCCTGGAGGAGATCTGGCCTCTCTGTGATTTCATCACTGCGCACACTCCTCTCCTGCCCTCCACCACAGGCTTAAAATTTTTTTTAGCACTTAATGTCTATATTAGAAGCTCAAGCCAGTAATCCCAGCACTTTGGGAGGCCGAGGTGGGTGGATCACGAGGTCAAGAGATTAAGACCATCCTGGTCAACATGGTGAAACCCCGTCTCTACTAAAAATACAAAAAATTAGCTGGGCATGGTGGCGCGTGCCTGTAATCCCAGCAACTCAGGAGGCTGAGGCAGGAGAATTGCCTGAACCCAGGAGGCGGAGGTTGCGGTGAGCCGAGATCGCGCCATTGCACTCCAGCCTGAGTAACAAGAGCGAAACTCCGTCTCAAAAAAAAAAAAGAGAAGAAGAAGAAACTAAAAAAAGAACAAATTAAACCCAAAGCAAACAGAGGAAATGACATAATAAACATAGGTGGAATCCGGCGTGCCAGGCCCAACTGCAGCTTCTCGGCTTAAGCACCTTTACTTGCAGCGGCGATTCCGAGGCCACCTCCAGCAATGGCCTTTGCAAATCTGTGGAAAGTGCTCATCGGTGACAGCCTGGACCCTTGCTACCGTAGGATCTTGCAAGATGGAGGGCTGCAGGTAGTGGAGAAGCAGAACCTTAGCAAAGAGGAGCTGATAGCCGAGCTGCAGTTCATGGGAACAGGGCTGAATGGAAAGATCCTGGGAATTCTGGGCCTGGGAGGGATTGGGAGGAAGGTGGCTACCCGGATGCAGTCCTTTGGGGTGAAGACCATAGGGTATGACCCCAACATTTTCTCAGAGGTCTTGGCCTCCTTTGGTGTTCAGTAGCTGCCCCTGGAGGAGATCTGGCCTCTCTGTGATTTCATCACTGTGCACACTGGTCTCCTGCCCTCCACGACAGGCTTATTGAACAATAGCACCTTTGTCCAGTGCAAGAAGGGGGTACGTGTGGTGAACTGCGCCCGCGGAGGCATCGTGGACGATGGCGCCCTGCTCTGGGCCCTGCAGTCGGGCCAGTGTGCTGGGGCTGCGCTGGACGTGTTTACCGAAGAGCCACCACAGGACTGAAACTTGGTGGACCATGAGAATATCATCAGCTGTCTCCACCTGGGCGCCAGCACCAAGGAGGCACAGAGCTGCCGTGGGGAGGAAATTGCTGTTCCGTTCGTGGACATGGTGAAGGGGAAATCTCTCACAGGGGTTGTAAATGCCCAGACCATTACCAGCGCCTTCTCTCCACACACCAAGCCTTGGATCGGTCTGGCAGAAGCTCTGGGGACACTGATGCAAGCCTGGGCTGGGTCTCCCAAAGGGATCATCCAGGTGATTACACCAGGAACATCCCTGAAGAATGCTGGGAACTGCCTAAGCCCTGTAGTCATCATCGGCCTCTTGAAGGAGGCTTCCAAGCAGGCGGATGTGAACTTGGTGAACGCCAAGCTGCTGGTGAAAGAGGCTGGCCTCAGTGTCACCACCTCCCACAGCCCGGCAGCACCAGGGGAGCAGGGCTTTGGGGAATGTCTCCTGGCCGTGGCCCTGGCAGGCACCCCTTACCAGGCTGCGGGTTTGGTCCAGGGCACCACACCTGTGCTGCAAGGGCTCAATGGAGCTGTCTTCAGGCCAGAAGTGCCTCTCTGCAGGGGCCTGCCCCTGCTCCTATTCTGGACTCAGGCTTCTGACCCTGCAATGCTGCCTACCATGATTGGCCTCCTGGCAGAGGCAGGCATGCGGCTGCTTTCCTATCAGACTTTACTGGTGTCAGATGGGGAGACCTGGCACATCATGGGCATCTCCTCCTTGCTGCCCAGCCTGGAAGCATGGAAGCAGCATGTGACTGAGGCCTTCCAGTTTCACTTCTAACCTTGGGGCTCATGGGTCCCTGCCTCTGGGGCTTTTCTGAAGAAACCTATCCACTGTGATCAACAGAGAGAGAAGATCCACATTCTTGGCCTGAACACACAGGCCTCTGACACTGCTTAAACAGTGCTCATCTGGCCCTATAGTACAGCAATAACCATCTAATAAAAACCCTACCAGCAAAAGAATAAAAGATAAACATATGCCATGGTTGACATTTGCATCTTCCCAGAACTTAAGTTTGTTGTTTATGCTGAAACTTAATCACAGAGGTGATGTTATCAGGAGTTGCGGCTTTGTGGAGGTGATTAGCACGTGGGAACCAAGCCCCCACCAAAGCGATTAGTGCTCTTATATAATAGACCAAAGAGAGCTCATTTACCCATCCTGCCATGTGAGGACACAGGGGGCAAAAAGGGATCTATGAACCCAGAATTGGTCCCTCACCAGACACCAAATCTGCATCACCTGGGTGTTGGACTTCTGTGAGAAATCTATTCTGTTGTTTATAAGCCACCCAGCCTATAGTGTTTTGTTACAGCAGCCGAACAGACCATAACATCAAAGATGAAACCAATAAAACAAACACAATAGGAAAAAAATCAATTACAACCAAACACTTTGAGGAGGTCAAAAAAAGTGATGAAACTCTCTAGCCAGGTGGTCATAGAAAAGAAGATGCAAATGACTAACTTCAGAAACATAGTCATACGGCATTGTATAGATTCGACAGACACTCAACGATTAGCAGTATAATAAGGTCAGCTTTATGTGACTAAATATGACAACTCTGATGAAACGGACACTTTCCTTGAAAAGTAAAAACTATGACAGTTCAATCAAGAAGGAATAACCTGGACTGTTCTATATCTATAAAAGAAAATAAAGCATAAGTAAAGCCTTCCTAGAAAGATAACTCCAGGCCCAGATAGCTATGTTCTGGTGAATTCTACCAAATATTTAATAAGTAATACAACAATTTTACATGGCTTCTCTCCTAGCCCTCAAAAGAAAAAAAAAATACAACTCATCCTATCACTCTAGCATTACCCTGAACCAAAATCTGACAGTGATATTACAAAAAAGAAAAACTTCCTCATGAACGTGGACATAAAAATTTAACCAATTTCTGAAGAAACCAAGATACCCTCCTTTAGGTGACAGAACCACCTCTGGTACAGTCATGCAATAATGAGCTCTCGTGTCATGGGAAGACATGAAGGAACCACAAAGGCATATTACCAAGTGAAATATGCAGTCTAAAGGCTGCACATTGTATAATACCAACTATAGGACATTTTAGAGAAGGCAAAACTATAGACAGTAAAAAAAAAATCAGTGGTAGCCAGGAGTTGGGGAAGGTGGGAAAAGTTGAACAGATGAAGCACAAAGGAGTTTCGAAACTCTGAAACTACTTTGGATAATACTACAATGATAAATACATGTCCTTATACCTTTGTCTAAATTCACAGCAGTTAAGACACCAAGACTGAACTCTAATATAAACTATGGACTTTGGGTGATTATGATATGTCAATTCAGGATCATCAATGAGATCAACTGTACCACTCTGGTGAGGGAGACTGATAATTGTGGAGGCTATGAACGTGTGTGGGGCAGGTAGTACAGGGATAATCTTTGTGCCTTACTTTCAGTTTTGCTGTGAAGCTAAAACTACTCTAAAAGATGGTCTTCTAAAAATTTCTAAATAAAATTTTGTCAAATCTAATACACTAGAAGGATAATACATCATAAACAAGTGAGGTTGATCCCAAAACACAAGGTTGGTTTGCCGTCAGTTATTCACCACATTAACAAACTAAAAGAGAAGAACCATCTGACCATCTCAGTAGACATAGGCATTTGGTAAAATACAACATTCATTCCTGATTTTTTAAAAAAATTTCCTCTTAGTAACTAAAGAATACAAGGGAAGGCCATCAGCATGATAAAGAGCATCTCTGATAAATCTACAACTAACATGCATCATGATGAAAAACTGAACGCTTTCCCTGTAAGATCAGGAACACAGGAATGTCTCCTTTCACTGTTTGAACAGCAGTGTACTGAAGCCAGCGCAGTTAGGCAAGAAAAGGAAATAAAAGCTATCTGGGTTGAAAGAAGAAGTAAAACTGTCCTTATTCACAATCATGATCACATAATAGGGACAGGTAAAATCCAACCTGTGGGGAAGCTTATTATTTTTACAAATAAAGTTTTACTGGAATGCAGCTGTGTTTTTTAAAATATATTTTATTGCACTTTAGGTTCTGGGGTACATGTGCAGAACATGCAGGATTGTTGCACAGGTACACATATGGCAATGTGGTCTGCTGTCTCCATCCCCCGTCACCTATATCTGGCATTTCTCCCCAGGTTATCCCTCCCCAACCTCTCTACCTGCACTGTCCCTCCCCTATTTGCCCCCAACAGACCCCAGAATGTGATGCTCCCCTCCCTGTGTCCATGTGTTCTCATTGTTCAACATCTGCCTATGAGAACATGTGGCATTTGATTTTCTATTCTTGCATCAGTTTGCTGAGAATGATGCCTTCCAGATTCACACACGTCCCTACAAAGGACACAAACTCATCATTTTTATGGCTGTATAGTATTCCATGGTGTATATGTGCCACATTTTCCTTGTCCCGTCTATCATTGATGGGCATTTGGGTTGGTTCTGCGTCTTTGCTATCGTAAACAGTGCTGCAATGAACGTACATGTGCATGTGTCTTTATAACAGAATGATTTAGAATCCTTTGGATATATACCCAATAATGGGATTGCTGGGTCAAATGGAATTTTTGTTTCTAGGTCCTTGAGGAAGCGCCACACTGTTTTCCCCAATGGTTGAACTAATTTACACTCCCACCAACAGTGTAAAAGTGTTCCTATTTCTCCTCATCCTCTCCAGCATCTGTTGTCTCCAGATTTTTTAATGATCGTCATTCTGAGTAGCATGAGATGGTATCTCAACGTGGTTTTGATTTGCATTTCTCTAATGACCAGTGACAATAAGCATTTTTTCATAGGTTTATTGGTCTCATATATGTCTTCTTTAGAAAAAGGTCTGTTCATATCCTTTGCCCACTTTTAAATGGGTTTGTTTTTTCTTGTAAATCTGTTTTAGTTCTTTGTAGATTCTGGATATTGGCCCTTTGTTAGATGGGTAGATTGCAAAAATTCTTCCCATTCTGTTGGTGGCTGGTTCACTCTAATGATTGTTTCTTTTGCTGTGTAGAAGCTCTGGAGTTTGATTAGGTCTCATTTGTCTATTTTGGCTTTTGGTATTTTAGACATGAAGTCCTTGCCTATGCCTATGTCCTAAATGGTTTTGCCTAGATTTTCTTCTAGGGTTTTTATGGTGTTACGTCTTATGTTTAAGTCTTTAATCCATCCGGAGTTAATTTTAGTGTAAAGTATCAGGAAAGGATCCCGTTTCTGCTTTCTGCACATGGCTAGCCAGTTTTCCCAACACCATTTATTAAACAGGGAATCCTTTCCCCATTGCTTGTTTTTGTTAGGTTTGTCAAAGATCAGATGGTTGTAGATGTGTGGTATTGCCTCCAAGGCCTCTGTTCTGTTCCATTGGTCTATATCTCTGCTTCGGTACCAGTACCATGCTTTGATTACTGTAGCCTTGTAGTATAGTTTGAAGTCAGATAGCATGATGCCTCCAGCTTTGCTCTTTTTGCTTAGAACTGACTTGGCTTTGCAGGGTCTCTTTTGGTTCCATATGAAGTTTAAGGTGTTTTTTTCCAGTTCTGTGAAGAGGCTGTCATAGGTAGCTTGATGGGGATAGCATTGAATTTGTGAATTACTTTGGGCAGTATGGACATTTTCACAATATTGATCCTTCCTAACCAGAAGCATGGAATGTTTTTCCATCTGTTTGTGTCCTCTCCTATTTCCTTGAGCAGTGGTTCATAGTTCTCCTTGAAGAGGTCCTTTACATCCTTTGTTAGTTGTATTCCTAGGTATTTGATTCTCTTTGTAGCAATTGTGAATGACAGTTCATTCTTGATTTGGCTCTCTGTTTGTTATTGGTGTATAGGAATGCTTGTGATTTCTGCACATTGATTTTGTAACCTGAGACTTTGCTGAAGAATCTTATCAGTAAGGAGATTTTGGGCTGAGACAATGGGGTCTTCTAAACATACAATCACGTCGTCTACAAATGGAGACAATATGACTTCCTCCTTTCCTATTTGAATATCATTTATTTCTTTTTCTTGCCTGATTGCTCTGGCTAGAACTTCCAATACTCTACTGAATAGGAGTGGTGAGAGAGGGCATCCTTGTCTAGTGCTAGATTTAAAAAAGAATGCTTCCAGTTTTGCCCATTCAGTATGATATTGGCTGTGGGTTTGTCATAAATAGCTTTTATTATTTTGAGATATGTTCCGCCGATACCTAGTTTATTCAGAGTTTTAACATTAAGGACTGTTGAATTTCGTTGAAGGCCTTCTCTGCACCTATTGAGATGATCATGTGGTTTCTGTCTTCGGTTCTGTTTATGTGGTGAATTATGTTTATAGATTTGAGTATGTTGAACCAGACTTGCATCCCTGGGATGAAGCCTACTTGATCATGGTGGATAAACTTTTTGATGTGCTGTTACAATCAGTTTACCAGTATTTTATTGAAGATTTTTGCTTCTATGTTCATCATGGATATTGGCCTGAAGTTTTCTTTTTGTGCTAAGTCTCTGCCAGGTTTTGGTATCAGGATGATGTTGGTCTCATAAGATAATTTGGGAAGGATTCCTTCTTTTTGGATTGTTTGCAATAATTTCAGAAGAAGTGGTACTAGCTCCTCTTTGTATGTCTAGTAGAATTCAGCTGTGAACCCATCTGGACCTGGGCTTTTTTTTTTGTTGGTAGGCTATTAATTGCTACCTCAACTTTAGACCTTGTTATTGGTCTATTCAGGGTTTTGACTTCTTCCTGGTTTAGGCCTGGAGGGTGCAAGTGTCCATGAATTTATCCATTTCTTCTAGGTTTACTGGTTTATGTGCACAGAGTTGTTTGCAGTAATCTCTGATGGTAGTTTGTATTTCTGTGGAATTGGTGGTAATATCCCCCTTTATTGTTTTTTGTTGCATCTATTTGATTCTTCTCTCTTTTTTTTTTATTCATCTGGCTAGTGGTCCATCTATTTTGTCAATCTTTTCAAAAAACTAGCTCCTGGATTTATTAATCTTTGAAGGTTTTTTTTGGTGTCTCTATCTCTTTCAGTTATGCTCTAATCTTAGTTATTTCTTGTCTTCTGCTAGCTTTTGAGTTTTTTGATCTTGCTCCTCTAGCTCTTTCAATTTTGATGACAGGGTGTCGATTTTAGATCTTTCCTTGATTCTCATGTGGGCATTTATTGCTATAAATTTTCCTCTAGATACTGCTTTAAATGTGTCCCAGAGATTCTGGTATGTTGTGTCTTCATTCTTGTTGGTTTTGAAGATCTTTATTTCTGCCTTCATTTCATTGTTTATCCAGTCCACATTCAAGAGCCAATTGTTTGGTTTCCATGAAGTTGTGCAGTTCTGAGTTAGTTTCTTAATCCTGAGTTCTAATTTGATTGCACTGTGGTCTGAAAGACTGTTATGATTTCCCTTCTTTTCCATTTGCTGAGGAGTGACTTACTTCCAATTATGTGGTCAGTTTTAGAGGTGTGATGTGGTGCTGAGAAGAATGTATATTCTACGGATTTGGGGTAGAGAGTTCAGTAAATGTCTGTTAGATTTGCTTGGTCCAGATCTGAGTTCAAGTCCTGGATATCCTTATTAATTTTCTGTCTCGTTGATCTGTCTAATATTGACACTAGAGTGTTAAAGTCTACCATTATTATTGTGTAGGGAGTCTAAGTCTCTTTGTAGGCCATTAATAACATGCTTTATGTATCTAGCTGCTCCTGTATTGGGTGCGTGTATATTTAGGCTCATTAGCTCTTCTTGTGGCATTGATCCTTTTTACCATTATGTAATGCCCTTCTTTGTCTCTTTTGATCTTTGTTGGTTTAAAGTCTATTTTATCAGAGACTAGGATTGCAACTCCTGCTTTTTTTTTTCCTCTCCATTTGCTTGGTAAATCTTCCTCCATCCCTTTATTTTAAGCCTATGTGTATCCTTGCACATGAGATGGGTTTCCTGGATACAGCACACCAATGGTTTTTGACTTTTTATTCAATTTGCCAGTCTTTGTATTTTGATTGGGGCCTTTAGCCCATTTACATTTAAGGTTAATATTGTTATGTGTGAATTTGATACTACCATTTTGATCCTAGCTGGCTGTTTTGCCCATTAGTTGATGCAGTTTCTTCATTGCTTCAATGCTCTTTGCCATTTGGTACGTTTTTGGAGTAGCTGTTACTGGTTGTTCCTTTCTATGTTTAGTGCTTCTTTCAGATCTCTTGTAAGGCAGGCCTGGTGATGATGAAATCTCTGAGCAATTGCTCGTTCATAAAGGATTTTATTTCTCTATCGCTTACGAAGCTTAGTTTGGCTGGATCTGAAATTCTAGGTTGAAAGTTCTTTTCTTTAAGGATGTTGACTATTGGCCCCTACTCTTTTCTGGCTTGTAGGGTTTCTGCCGAGAGATCTGCTGAGTCTGATGGGCTTCCCTTTGTGGGTAACCTGACCTTTCTCTCTGCCTGCCCATAGCATTTTTTCCTTCATTTCAACCCTGGTGAATCTGATGATTATGTGCCTTGGGGTTGCTCTTCTTGAGGAATATCTTTGTGGTGTTCTCTGATTTCCTGGACTTGAATGTTGGCCTGCCTTGCTAAGTTGGGGAAGTTCTCCTGGATAATATCCTGAAGAGTGTTTTCCAGCTTGGATTCACTCACTCCATCACATTCAGGTACACCTATCAAACGTAGATTAGGTCTTTTCACATAATCCCATATTTCTTTTTTTTTTTTTAATTTTTTATTGGATTATAGGTTTTGGGGTACATGAGCAGAGCATGCAAGACAGTTGCGTAGGTACACACATGGCAGTGTGCTTTGCTTTTCTTCTCCCCTTCACCCACATTTGGCATTTCTCCCCAGGCTATCCCTCCCCACCTCCCCCTCCAACTGGCCCTCCCCTTTTCCCCCCAATAGACCCCAGTGTTTAGTACTCCCCTCCCTGTGTCCATGTGTTCTCATTTTTCATCACCCACCTATGAGTGAGAATATGCGGTGTTTCATTTTCTGTTCTTGTGTCAGTTTGCTGAGGATGATGTTTTCCAGATTCATCCATGTCCCTACAAATGTCACGAACTCATCATTTCTGATTGCTGCATAATATTCCATGGTGTATATGTGCCACATTTTTCCAATCCAGTCTATTATCAATGGGCATTTGGGTTGATTCCAGGTCTTTGCTATTGTAAACAGTGCTGCAATGAACATTCGTGTACATGTGTCCTTATAGTAGAACGATTTATAGTCTTTTGGATATATACCCAGTAATGGGATTGCTGGGTCAAATGGAATTTCTATTTCTAAGGCCTTGAGGAATCGCCACACTGTCTTCCACAATGGTTGAACTAATTTACACTCCCACCAACAGTGTAAAAGTGTTCCTTTTTCTCCACATCCTCTCCAGCATCTGTTG